AAGTTATTTTAATGCACTAAGCCAATTAGTGGCCAGAGCCGGGCCTTGCCTTTCTTGGCTCTTGGTTCATTTGCGGTCCCCTGGACAAAGAGTCCTTTAAAGGCGCGCTGCTCCCTCCCCGCGTAGTCCTCATTCGCACACAGTTCAGGCGCTGCAGCCAGGGTGGTGACATGTCATCAAGGACACGTGCGCATAAATAAAAACTTTCCTGGGCACACACATCCAGAGAAAAAAGTTCATCAAGCCCAGAGCATCGGACTAACACTAAACGTGGGAGAAACTTTTATAATATAGTCTGTAGTCGCTCATGCAATGTCTCTCACATAGCATATTTGGGTAACCATAAATCCTTCATGGATTCTTTTGCGCCAAAAGACAAAGACAACGACAAAGACTAAAGGGATGTTGTCATAGGCAAAAGTTTAAATTACTTCACAGGCTGTGACAACGGGGAGTCACCATAAGGGAACATGTGTGGCAGATGAGTAATACCACTAGTTGCAAAAGTAAAATTAAGATGATGCATGCGTGTGGGCGGCACATTAGAGATGGACTCACGAGGTGGGACAAAAAATTGCTAAGGATGCAAGTATTGGGGGAAGCTTGCAATTAGAGATGAGAAAGGATCTTTAAATATTGAAAATATTTATCAGTAAGTACCCAAAAGCTTACTTATTTATATTAGCTCATCCTGCTCATTTTAATTGCTATTACATCCCCATCCAATCACGCTGCCATCTCAAACAATCTCTAATACAACATTAATGGTATTTTCCCATACCAACAGCAAAGCATATCCCCATCCCTGGGGCTGGCTGGCCATTGTCGCTGGAGTGACCACAACAAATTGAGCTTATCATTGACGGATTAACACTAAACACACCCACATGCACAGGATACGAGAGGACACAGGATACCATGCCAAAGGATGCTTGTGCTGTTGTTGTCCACTTGTTTTTTGTGGCTCTGCTGGCGAGAGTGGCCATAGATGAGACATAAATCTGCCACACGTACTCGTGTGGCCCATGCTCGGGAGGTTGACTAAAGCGAAAAATTAGCAATGTTGGGAAAAGCATATTGATGAAGCGTTAAGACCACATCACAACCGATGACCCAAGCTCGACAAGGGTCTCGGGCTCGGTACGGCAGGGGTCGCAGGTCGCTCTGGTCTCGTGGAAAGTGGAAAATCAATGCCAACGACAAAAACATGACAAGTTGATCCCTTTAAGTCGCAAGTTATGCCAGCCACGCACATCACACAGGGACAGAGAGTGAGATTGCGACTGCGAATGGGACTAGGTCTGGGGTTCAGAGGGGAGTTGACTTTGGCTGTTGCGTTTTTCTGTCACTTTGTGCAAATGTGTCCTTGCAAATCCTGTTAAAATTGCATTTGGAACATGTCAACATTGCGACTGGAAAACCACACAAAGGGAAAAAAATCCGTGTACCCCCAAACCATACCCAATCCAAACCAACGCCGAACCCGTATACGAATCCAAACCCCCAAAAGCCATATTTGCTGGCTCTTTCTCTGTCGTTTTTTACGATTTGGCTTTGTTTCATCCAATTTTTTCCGTACATTTATTTCGCTTGTAATTCATTTCCATTCATATTTACATGGGAAAATGTACAAAGTGCGAGTGGGGATGGAGTATTGCTGAATTTTTATTTTCTTTTGCTTGCACATTTGTCTGGGATTTGTGGGGGATTGCTGGATCGACCTCCTAAACCCACCATCCCTCCTCCCTTTTCACACTTCTCCTTTTTTTATAGTAGTCGCATCTGTGGTTTTTTTTTTGCGTTTTTTCGGGAGTTGGTTTTATTCTGCATTCGAGGGATTGGTTGTGGCAGATCTGACAGCAACACGGTATGGGATTTTTTTGGGTTTTGGCACTTGTAATGCGGTTTCAATTAATTCGGAGGCGTTGCCCTATCTGTTCAGGATATAAGTATGTCTGTGGAGCAGGTGTGCGTACGTTGGGAGAGAGTTTTGCTGTAGATATGTATACAAGGGGTTAGGGAGAGGTTTAGGGCAAGTAGTCGATAAATTATGTTTCCTATTGGCAAATAGCCACAGAAATGTGTACAAATTAGAGAACTTTTAGAACAGTGGATGGACAGAAAAACAACACAAAATAATTTAATTTTTCACAACTTTAACTAAATGGGATACTGAAAAATCTCAAAGAAAGGAAAATTATTTATCAACTGATCGAATTTGCATTATTTACTAAGCATAACTAACATTTAGTATTTTATTTACACTAAAACCCACCTAGAATCATCTCTTAACTCGTTGGGACTTCCAAATTCCACTGCCCATATGATAATATGACAAGTAAACATTTCACAATCAACAGCTAAGCCATAAAATGTCCACCAATTAATATCTAATTTGGTGTTCATCATCAAATTTATATGGTAGCACCCACAGCAAGCACTTATATGACTGTACCACACACACGTCACTTGGCCATACTAAATAATAAGATATTCTTTGCCAAAATGAAAATGGAAAAAAAAACCAAAAGATTATTAAAGAACTGTGAGAGGCTAAAGTTATAGCAGCTGCTTTCTGGCCACTACATAAATTAGTTGTCAGCGCCAAGATGTACAATGCATACATATGTACGTATTTATTTATGTATGTGTGTGAGGAGGAGCAGAAGGCCAAGACAGATGACACTTGGCTATATAGAGAGAGCCACACCCACACGACGCAACAGTAGAACAGAACAGAGGAGGAGGGAAAGAAAAAAACGACAGACCAGAGACAAGTATTTAATTTTGTAGCTGAGAGGCTGACAAACTGACAAAGAGATGAGCAGGAGAGATGGTGGAGCGGGAGCGGGAGCAGGAGCAATGGCAGAAAAATGGTGCATGGGGGGCAGTGGCTGCGGCAGAGGCAAAATGGCAATCAGCACATAAATAAAATGAAAAATCTACTGCCAACCCGAAATGCAGTACAAGTCCTGTACATGGCAGTCGCTGCCAGTCGCCAGTTGGCAGTCGCCACTCGCCAGTCGAAGGAAGACTTAGTTACCTCTGCCAGAGAGAGCCATGGAGGAGCTCCTCCACGTTCTATGTACTCGGACTCGCACTCGCACACGGACTGGGAGTCGGACTCGGAGTCGGCATAGACACATAATGTAGGCTACCGCCAACGTCGGCGCATGCGCCCGACATAGTATCATCCAATATTTCCTATCCTTTCGACTCCACTAGTATGGGCCTCTCCCTCTCTCTCTGATGGGTGGGTAATAAACCAGACCGAGGCAGGATGCTGGAAATTATAAAGTGCTAACCTCTACTCTGCTCTCTCTCGTTCTCTCTCTGTTTCTACTCAAGAGGAATGCTTAAAATGTAAATTTAATGAGCAAAAAATTAGAAGAAATCGTTCTCGAGGCGATCTCTGACGCCCAAACATGGTAAAGAGAAAATTTACTAGCCACCAATTAAAGGCATGGGATCCTTGTGGGCCGGTGGGACGATGAAGTGGTGTCAACTGCCTCCTTTTGACGGACAGGTCCCCATAAACATGTCAGAAAAGGTTTGCACCGCTTTTTTTACACAAATTTCTTTCTGCTGCTTTTGTTTTGTAGTGCTCCTCCATCCTCTTCAATAAATTGCAAGGAAAATACTTTATTTAGTTAGTCCGACACATTGGAAATCACAACGAGGCGAAAAGGGAGAACAAACCCCGAGCTCGAGCCCGAGCCGGAGCCGGAGCCGCACAAAAAAGATGAGCGCAGACGGGTTAGGGTTTTTATAGTGTCCACTGTACAGTGTACACTCAGTGGTTGTTGTCCATGTCGCATTCGTTGTTGTAATTGCAGTTGTTGCTTTGGTAATATTGTGTGACACAACTATTTCAGTTTGTAGACAGTTACCACAAACAGTTTACAGTGGGAGCAAACACTGCAAAGATTCGAGAAGTAAGGAGGGCTTATGGAATTATTTAAGCCCTGCAAAGGACTAGACATTTGAAAGTAAGAAGCGTCCCTTTGGTCCCTTTGAATAATTATTTTAAATGTTAACAAACATGGAACAAATGTGTATTGGGTAAAAACATTAAAATTGAAAATATATCAGGATAGATACTCGTATGTCTTATAAACGATTCATAGAAATATACTCGGAATTCTTAAATTCTTGGAAATTTTTAAATCTGCCGGAAAAAACAGTAATGATGGACAATATATTTTTATAACATCAAGATATATTCTCAGAACATTAAAGACCTAAATTTTTCCAATTCCAATTCGCACTTTGTGCCCAATAAATACCACGGTAATGTGCTATATTAAGTGCCCGGCAAACAAAAAACCAAACAGAAGCGGCAGCAAAAAAAAAAAAGAAAGACAGTCTTCCAAGATACTTTGCCCAGTCCAGTCCAGTCCAGTGCCGTCCCATACCCATTCCCGTCCAGGACAGTGTCCGACCAACAAGGCAGGCAACAAAATACCAAAGCCAAAAGTAAAAATGTTTCTCATACGGTTTATTTACACAAAATGTCAGAAGTTGACCAGAGCGGAGGGAACCAGAAGATGTGGGGAAACCAGAAGGGAAGTAGTCCGCAGTAGCAGTAGAAGTACCAGTCCCGGGGTCGGTCCCTGATCCCCATCCCGGGGCACCAGGTGCTGGCAGACAAACAGGCGTACAATGGCAGAGATAAAAACAGACAAACATGCAACCATTTTGGAATAATAATGCAGCAGCAGCACCAGCACCAGCACCAGCAGCAGCAGGAAAAACAAACTCGAGCCAGCCAAAGAGGTGAGAACATAATGTAAAAGTCATCGAGCGAGGTGTAGGTATGCCTGTGTGTGCTCGCATCTGTGCCAAAGCGAGATGTCTATAGTGCACCCAAACCGGTTGTGTACGCTAGCCAATCGGAGCAAGCTGCTGTAGCGCTGACTGCGCAGCCGCAAAGGAGAAGCCAGCGACGAAAAATCCAACTGGATTTCGAAAGCAGCGCCTCAGTTGGATTTTTGCAACGGGAACGTGCGGGTGCATGCATGTGTCGAGAGCGAGAAAGAGACCGAGTCAGCTGATCCATCCGTTAGCCTCCGTTGTTACCGTTAATTTACCGACGCCGCGCCAACCCATGGGAACTACTAAAACATATACTCGTACTGTTTGCTGCCACCCACTCCCCTCCGACCGAAAGCAATTTCAAATGTTATTCGATTATAATTTCTAAATTTTGCATGTGCCAATATAGAAAGAGAAAGCGAGAAAGTGTGTGTGTGTTCGTTATGTGTGTGCCAAATTAGTTGAAAGCAAAAGTTAACAGGAAAAACCAAAACAAAATAAAAGAATACAAAAAACAAAAACAAGTTGCAGATGGAAAGCAACGCATTTGGCAGCAGCCATTTGCCATCTCAAGCGCTTGTTGTTCTATCAGAGGCCGCTTCCGGTTTGCATGAGGCTCTACGTGGACAACGTCCGTTTCCATCGAGAGTAAGTAAAACCCAATAGAATCCTATACACAAATCCAAATGCAAGGGATAAGACACTGATCGGGATTCAGGATCAGGTTTGCCGCTCATGCAAAGAAAGGGCAGCCTGGTGGGGGCGACTGTGGTGGGGACATATTTATGACAAATCATAAACCAGGGGGCCAGTAGCCGAAATGCCGAAATGCCGAAAGATGCTATAAATCAGCACACCGCTAAAGCAAAGGCCAAAGCAAAGGCAAAAGCATCCAAAACAATGCGCATTGTAAAACAACAAAACGAACCAGAACTTTCAAGTGAACTTCCAGTTGCGAAAAGTATCGCCTAGCGATGACAGCGTGAGAGATCGAACACAAATTGGTAGAGTTCGAAGAGAAAGTATAATTTTATCGGGGAAAACATCGAGTGTTTAATGAGGAAAGTTGCCAGTAATTGGTCCCCGTGTCACGCTGCCAGTCCCAGTCAATATGCATTGTAAAACCACACAAACGAATAAGACCTTCCGAGTGAACTTTTAGTTAAAGCAGAGTCCTAGAGATGGCAGCGTGAGAGCTATCAAACATAAAGAGATTCCAAAGAGAAAGTATCATATTTCTTTGTTTTTGGTAAAACTAACAAATAATTGGCAGTAGATAGATGATCGTGTTTTAAGAGCGTGTCACGATCGCATTTCCATTCCCCCTTCCGACGCAGTCCAGAAGTCAGTCAAGAGAGAGGCAGCAGATTCAGAGAGTTCGTCGTCGCATTCCGATCAACGAATGCGTTTGCAAACGCCCCATTGTGTGTAGATTTTTGCGACGAACAGATTTATGATAGCTTCAATACCGAACCTCGAGCCCGGGCCTGATGGCAGAGCAGAGCAAAGCAGAGCCCCCGGATCCCACAGAGCAGCAGCAGCGTGAGCAGCTACTACCATTCCACATTCGATTTGGTTGTGGCATCTTCGGTTCCTTCTGCTGCTGCTCCTCTGCCTGTCATCATTGTAAACATGAGCAATGATCTTGACGCTGATGCTACAAATGATGAAGAACTCGAACGCTGATGATGTTCCGACTGCAGTCAGGCAGTCGGTCCAACCTACTTGGAATAACTAACTTCTGTCTGAAACTGGTTATTCGGAATTGGAGGAGCTGTGGGGCAGAAGCTGGAATCGGAATTGAAATTATATCTCTGCCTGTGCATAGCATTGAGTAGCGTTAAGATATGTTAAACATGACAACAATATGTCCTCATCCTCTAAACGCGAGTTGGGTTCGTTCTGGCATTGAAACTGGTATCCGAAAAGGCTGTAGCTAGAAGAAGGCAAAACAGTTGTTTAAGGAATACTAGTACAAGTGGAGTAGAGTGAAAACAGAGAGACATTTGTATGTGATTATTACCATATATATGTAGTAACAGTTTCAATAGTCCAAACAGAAATAGCTTATAGTCTTCCAATTTCTTTGCAGTTCCATCCTTTTCCTAAGAATTTCTTCAGCTGTTCTTCATCCCTACACAAACTTTTTTCTTTAGAAAAAACTTGCACAATAGCTATTCTCCCTTTCTCTGTCTCTCGCTTATCTACCATTATTTATGCAACCATTTATAACCAAGCATAACCCAAACAATAAAAATTAATAAAAACAACCCAAGCAAGCATATTAAATGCAATGTCAAATGGTTTAATGTCTCCCTGCTACTGTGCACTGCCACCGCTACTGGTGCTGGTACCCCGTGGCACTTCTTCTCGCCTCCTGTTCCTCGACTGGATGTCTAAGGGGAGGGGACAACACCATAACAATTTTGTAACCACACCAACAAAAGGTAGACTGACCCCCGTCCTGTCAGGGGAGCGAGAAAAAGAACCAGAAAAAATGGTCAGACTCTGAACAGGGCACTCCCCGGGACTCTCTCAGGGTGGCAGAGAAATTATGAGTCTGAGTCGGGGGACAGCATATGAAAAATAATTCCCTTTTTTTTGCACACTTATTGCCACAAAGTATGTGCAGGTGAGCTGTGAGTGTGTGTGTTGTGTGTGTGAGCGAGCTTAATTTAATTTATAGCAATTTATCAAGACGAGGAACTACATGTACAAAAATGCAAAGGCAACGAGGCGTATAACAAGAAGCACTCATGAAGAGTTCTAGTATGTAGCAGCACAGTATCATGTGCACAAATGGTCACTGATAGTTGGCTTAAGGTATGCCTCCGAGCTGAGAGATAAAGAAGGTTGGATCTAGACAACAATAGAGGGAAAAGCATATGGTGTGAAGGGACAAGTACAGCTACTAAAGAGTGAAGATATTAAGTACAAGTAAAACACTTGGGAATGACTAAAGATGGAAGATAACTAGAGAAATAGAAATACTCAACCACTAAAAATGCGAATAAATAAATAATCATTAAAACAGCCAAGAAGAACAACTACCAATGATAGACGATATTGAGTAGTGGAATTTTTGGGAATAGTTAAAGATGAAAGATTCACACTATGAAACTTATTGGTTGGCTGTATGAAATATTCAATAACAGAAGCAACCTTAAATATGCATTCGAGAAATGACTTTGACCTTTGACTTCAAAGACCCCTCAACTTATGCTACAAATATGGGCTCACCTTTAGAGTTATCTGCACTTGAACCGCAATGAGTCCAACAAACAGTCGAACAGGTTGAGTAGACTCTCTCGCCCCATAAACATTTAGTTTGAGAAAATTGCCAATTGCTAAACGTTTTTAGTGTTCCCTTCTGCTGCTACTTCTTCGGCCCGCAGCGTTTACTCCTCGTGTTAGTGCCACAAATTGAGATTTATTTGTGGTGTGTTGAGGAGGCCCCCAGTTGTTTCGATTGGCTCCGTTCGGTTCGGTTCGGTTCGGTTGGGATTCTGTTCGATGCGATGCTATGCGGTTTGTGTGTTGACTTCTCCGACGGAGCTGTCGTTTTGTTGTTGTTTATGGCCAAGTTAAGCGAAATTGGCAATTGTATGTAGACAATTGCTATTTGCCACTCGTTATCGTGTTGTTGTAATTAAGCTGTTATTGTTGTTGCTCTTCCAGAGCTCTTGCTGCAGCTGAGAGTTGCAACTGAACAGAATAAACCAATAACAGCCACAGCCACAGATACAGATGGGAATCATCTCCAATGGCAAAGTATAGAGGCAATAATTCAAGTGTTAAAAGAACAAACACCGAACGAATTTATGCAAATCTCAACCAAGAGGCGGAATGTTTTATTTTGGGATAACAAATCACCCCCCGGCCCCAGACCGACGGCACACAGGCCCAACGACCCTCTAATAGAAAAGCAAACAACAACGGGGGTAGATACGAGCACCCTGGAGGCTAGAGGGTGGTCACAGCACCTGCTCAGGCTTGTCCTTGGCTTAGCACTGATTAACAGGCATAAATCAATAAGCACATCGCTGAATCCACACTGAGAACACTCTCATCAACACGTAATGCATTAAAAACTCGTGATGGTGCGCCGCCAGAGAGTGCACAGCCAAGTGGTTGACCACTTCTGTTTTCGGCCCCCAATCCCCAATCCCCATCTCCAACCCCCATCCCTTGTGGTGGGTCCAGCTGTTGACCGAACTGCAGACTTAGACAAAGTGCAACTCATGCGGTTGTATGTGCCGTGCCACAACCCCTTGTAGTACGTCTGACTTGCAACAAATTTCCGCATAATGCAGCGTAGGAGGAGTACAGAATGATGCTGATGATGATGAAGCTGATGTGGCAACATATGCTGCAACAGCAAGCCCCCAAATTGAGGTGCTAATTTCTGTTGATAAGCCTTAATTTATTGGCCCTGCCCTGGGCATCATCAAGGGGGAGAACGGACGAGAGGGTCGTTAGCCAAGAGTTGGCCACTGGGTGCGGATTAAGCAACTGTCGAAGAAAGGATTTTCCAGTTTAATGAATGCGATTGATTAGCCTAGATTGACCAAAGTGTAGAGATAGTTAAGGCAATGGGAAAGTTCTTCTTCCATTTACTTTATAATTCTATTTTTCTTCGAAATAATATACATTTTATTGAGGAATATAGTAAGAAACTTTGATAAATATATCCCGTTGGATTTTCCCAACCAGTTTTGGTTACTTCTTCGCATCTTTAAAACCAATTTACTTTCAGTGGAATCCCCAAATTAGATCATCCATAAATAAACCAACAATTTGCAACTCCGCTCTAACATTTTCGATATCATTTTCCCACACTTTATGCCAAAAAAACGGCAGAAAAAAACTTTCCTTGGCAGACAAATTTGTATGTAAATTTGCAGCCAGCAAACTTGCCCAGGGAGAGGGGTTTGCCTTGCTGCAAATAGAAGTAAGGGTGTGGGTGGCAGGGTTGGGAGGGTTAATACTTGTCACACATGTCGTCGCTTATGTTATGCTCGTATCTTGTCTGTCTCTCTGTCCCAAACCGCCGCTTAACACTCGTCAGCCTCAATTTGTTATGAGCGCTTTACGTTCTGTCGGTTATCTGGAGTTTGGAAGCACAAGTTTCCCCGACACAACTCCCCCTGTTTACCCATATCATTTGCAAAAGTCTTTATGTGTGTGCGGGTGGCAGGGGGTGAACATTTTTCTCGTTATTTTACACCCCATTGGAGAGGCGCACCCCATCTACCATTTCTATCCACACACATCCACCAGACTGACACAGTTTATGCGACAAGTCTCGATATCGTAATTCGAAAATCTCTCAATTTAACATTTATTTGTCGTAAATTAAACATTTCCCCTGCATAATTTTCATTGATGCAAATACCACCCAAAAACAAACTTGAGGGCGTCGTTTCGATTCTGTGGAATTCGATTAGATTTTGCAATGATTTCTTGCACTTTTCCATACCATATGTTGCCTGCCCACTAAGTATCTGGGCATCATCATTTCTGAGCTCTCTAGAAAGCAAGTCAGGAAGGCAGGAAGGCAGGAAGGTGTATCCCATAATTGGCTAATTTTAACGCCAAGTCATGTAGCTGCCATAATTTGTTGTGCGGTTCCATGGCCTAGACTCGAGTAATGCGCATATTTAACGCTTAAATTTAACGCTCACTTAGCCTGTCAAAACTCTTGTGGGGTACGTGTCGGAATACAACAATTAGGGGAGCCGGCGCGAAAATGGGGATATTTTATGGAGTTTAGATTACTTATTTGTGGATACAAAAAGACTATGGATACAATGTATAGGCTGGAACTGCTTTAGTATGAGTTTTACTCATGGAAACTCCCACAAAAAAAGGGTTTAAAAGAATATTGCTAAAGTTTAATCATTTATAAAACTGCATTTGTTTGAAATATTTGCTATTTAAATATATAATTTAAATATACCATTTCTTTTATTTGAATATTAAATATATTTAAATCAAATATTTCATACAAATGTCAAAATACAAGTGAAAACCTTTCATATTAACAGTTTCTGGGAGGCTTTCCTTAGGGTTTTCTCTGGGATCTAGATGTAATACTACTTTTTAAATTGCCTTAAATTATGGTTAATGGGCATTCTTCATTAACTCAAGCATAGCCTTTTTCAGCTACCCCAAAAGTGTTTCGAAGCAAAACCCCATCATACTGATACTCTCTAGTTTTTCCCATTTCAGTTACCTGACGCCAAAGATCTCCACAACATGTCACTAGTCGGCAACTACTTCCATCCGCATCTGCTGCAAACGCTCAACCATGGAATGCTGGTGGCCAACGGCGCCGCAGCGGCTGCGGCAGCCGCCGGTGCAGGTCCCGCGAGCTACTTTGCCAGCGACAGATCGTCGTTGGGTAAGCCGTCGGGGCTGTCGAACTTCTCGCTGCCGCTGCCGTCGGCTTTCTCGCCCCCCAAATATATTGGCATATCGTTGGATCAGGTGAGTCCCGTCCCATGAACCCTCTTCAGGGTTCTACTGCTGCAGATCCGATGAGCTAATAATCGTTGTAAGATTGACACTTGTCATAATGGGATTTCAATTTCTCTCTCTCTCTTCCTCTCTCTGGCAGAATCTGTTCAATGGCAGCGAATCATTTCGCACGGATTCGGCCAGTCCCACATGCACATCCCACGAATCCATGGAGGGATCACAGGATTACGATGCCGTTGAAAAGGGTGAAAGTCCGCGCAGTAATAATTCTCAGGATCCCAGGGATTTGAGACGTAAGTAGGGTTGCTTTCATTCCGATTCCCTTATTTATTTAGCAAATTTACATCTGACAAAAAAAATTTGCATTCGCAAAAAAAACTGCAAAAAATTGGGCGTAGAAAGTTTTGTTGCCTTTTTCCCAATTTTGCTGATAAAAATCTTCTGGGTGTACTTCGTATTTGTTTCAATTTTACTTTTCCTGAGCAATTTTAACGCTTCAGTGGGTTAACTTTGACTGGCAGGCGTAAGGCTGGCAGGACAGACCCCACAGGCAGGACCCACTCCCAGCACGCACTTCACTTCACTCTACTTTCTTTTTTATTAGTTTTTTCCCTCTTTGCTCTGCCCCCAGACATTCCGAATCAATTTCGCATATTTACCATTTACCTGGGGGTGTGCTCTCGCGCTTTAAAGTTGTATTTCAGTACTTTTTCCCGAATATATAGGCTAAGCAAATCAGATTCAAATGCGTTGCTAATTGGTCCCGGGGTTCGGCAAAGCTGTTCGAGTTAAGCGCCTTATGATACAAATTAAGCAGCAGCATATGAAATGGATAAATATGGAATGGAAGTGAACAAAATACAGCAAAGGGATGGGGTGGCTGAGAGGTTGACACAGGGGCGCAGTAGAAAAAGGGGTATAGGAATGAACTAGAGTGGACAAGGGATAAAGAACTTTCGGAGAATGATAAATTGATCAAATTACTCTTACGAAATATATGTAAATCCATTCGAGAGAGAGAGAGAGAGAGGTCGTTATTATTTTCATTTTTCAATTATATTGCTGTACTCTTGGTGCTGAAAGAATTGAGGATGCTGAGAGATTTGCTGCAAGAATATTATAGGAACTAATGAGATCCGAATCGTCAAACATGCTACTTGGAGCTGTTTTAGGGATGTGAGAGGGAATGATATTTGACATAGGAAGATTTTAGATTTAGAGAGGCATCCTTAGTACTCTGGTATACAGGAACCAATCGATTTTAAAAGATAAATTACACTGAACACCTCTTAAATATTAACCGACACCTGTCATATGTGTTTCCATAATTCCAGCAGCCATTTTTACATAATCATAAACCCCTTTTTCGGGCAGCACCCCTGTACAACACACACATACATATGTATGTATGTAAATGCATATGTAGACAATTGTTTATTTTGGCCATTATTTGACTTTCAACTTAAGCCGGAAAACCAGTTTTTCCGGCCTCAACCCACACCACACAGCACACCGGAAGCAGAACCGAAACAGAAAACCCGCTCCATATGTTGCTGGGTGTTGTTTAACTTTTGGCTTTGAGACATGAAGCAGCCCATAAATTAATTTGGATAAATAATACACTTTTAATTAGCTGAAACTGATGCGAAGGCGAGCATCCATCAATGGGTTAAACTAACTTAGGGTAAACAGGCGGCAGTCGTGCTTTTTTCAAGATTTTCTCTCTGCGACATGCGGCAAAAGTCAAAAGGGCATTCCACAGAGAACAGAGAGTAAAGGGTTAGCAAGGAAGGGTGTGGTGTGCGTGTGTCCAAAGTGTTTTAAATGGCACAACGAGTACGAGACTTGACTTGGAGTTGGCCTTATTGAAATGTAACAACAGCCACCCCAGGACACAAGTACACACACAAAACCCACTTGACTACAAAGTCAAACCGCATCCTTTCGGCAGGAGCCGGGGCTCGTGCTCGGCACACGAAGACGACGAACGTTGCCTCCTCTCCGTTTCCAGGGCTAATTACTTATCCTCGACATTGTTGCAACTCTTCTAGAGGCAATTATAAGGAAGCCACCACCACAACCAGCATCCGTTCATCCTGTCATCGTTTTCGATACCATAATGTTTGCTCATTTATCGCAGGACTCGGCTCGAGGTATACTTTTTGTCCTGGCTTTATTATTTGTTCGCTCAAAGGATGCGCAAGTGTTGCCAATCGCTTTGATTGCATTGTTTGGCATTGTTATGACGAGAATTATGATTATTACAAGTATATCCCCTTGGACTCTGGTTGTTTTTATTGTTACTCGAATGATGTATTATGTTTAATGCACACTTGGAATTTTCATATTAATTTCTGTAATATTAATGGGCCACATCCACAACCACCCGAAAAACCCCCAAAAACCAGAGAAGCGAAACTCATATTTCATATTGCGATATATGTATGGGAACGCCCCCTTTTTTACAGGGCGGAGTGGGGTTGAGCACGTGACACTGTGAGAGGGGGTTGTAGGAGTGGGTGGGCGTAGGTCATTGATAACTAATATTATAATAACTTTCGGGCAAAGTCAGTTTGTCAGGCATTCAGAGTTGAGCTTTGCATACCATATTAGAAGAGGACATCCAGCATTTGAGTTTTTGGGCTGTTCTGGAAACTAAATTCAATGCAAAAGCAGTCGAAACCGAACCCGAACCAACAAAACAAAAATAGTTTAAAATTGATTGGTTAAATAATTCAATACTTAAAGGTTCCCGAAAACTTTATTTATCATCTGTTTGCCCTTTAAAAATAATTATAGGTTAAAACTAAACGATTCCACAGCGAAACTGTTAACCGAAACACCACCCACAGCCACTTCTAAGCTAATTTAAGCCAGAGTCACGAATCGAATGTATCTCACTCTCTTTTTCTCCATATCCATGGACCATTTGCATCCGCCATTGACCGCTGACTCTGTGCTTGTGTTTCTGTTTGGCCGCGGTTAACCGACATATTTTAGAGGAATATAAATATAAAATTCAACAATTGTAGTGGGCCTGCGGCACATTCTGCAAACTGGCTGCTGCTCTCCACCATATTGTGATATATTTTATTGTAATATTATTTTAATTGCAAACCGAACGAACAGTCACGTGCAGAAGGAGAGCGAGATTTTTGTTTGGTGGGGTTTTTGGGCCAGCAAACAGTTTGTATTTATTGTGGTTTCTCTTTTTTTCCTGTGCCCCGTGCAGCTCCCGAAAATACGTGGCGACGTGTGTCTGACACGAGGAATCTGCGGCCGAGAGGTGTTGGTGTGTATGTGTGTGTGTTTGCTCCTGTTTCTGATTCTCTCCACAAAATTACGAGCTCCAATTAATTTGTTCTGCCTCTGTTAAAAATGTGCAGGGAGCAGGGAAATCGAGGGGGGTTAAGGGCAGGAGGCAATTAGAAAATGCCGGAGAAATTTATGGGACAGGCAGGACTTTCCACCCACCCAAAAGCGAAATGGAAATCAAAGTGGACGGGGGGCGGGGGTTTGGAATTTTTTCAATTTTTATTGCCTTCAGTTGATTGATGATTGCGGGCATGTCTAAAATTTAGTGTTCGCTTCGTTCACAGATCTGCATAATGCGGGGAAGGGACACCCGGCAATGGCCACCTCGTCGGCCTCGGCATCGGCATCGGCCTCCAGCTCATCCTCAAACTCATCCTGCTCGACCAGCAATTCGGCCATCAGCACGCCAACCAGCAGCGTGGCCGTCTCGATGGCCACCCATCTGGCCTCCTCGCCCCATCTGCATCACACGCACTCGCATTCGCACTCCCATCCGCATCAGCATCAACATCAGCAGCATCAGCACTCGCATTCGCATCCCCATCATGGCCATCATGTGGGAGCGCCACCGGGATCAGTGGCCACGACACACCATCACATGGCCCATCCGCATCCGTTGTCCCACCACCACGCGGCTCATCATGCGGCGCTGGCCAGCCTGAGCATGGCCGGACTAAGGGCGGTGCCGGGCGGCCTGAGTCTGGTCAGTGGGTTGCAGGCAGCGGCAGCCGGCGGGGCCATACCCGACATGTGTCCGGTGTGTGGGCTCAAGCTGAGTCCGGAGGAGTGGCACACGCACTTCCTCACGGAGCTGGATCGACTCTACAAGCTGAGTGCGGGCTTCGAGCGGGCCAATTTGCAGGCCACGTACATGTTTGCACCTCCCTGTCCGGCCCAAGAGAACGCCATACGCACCAGTCACAATCGCTGGGAGGTAGGTTCATACTCACAGTCCTCTAATCCCCTTAAATCTCTAATCTCGAATCCTTTCTGGTGTGCAGACATTCCAGCGGATACGCAACAATCGCCAGAACCGCCTGAGACTCAAAGTGCGCAAGCGTAAATACGGCGAAATGTACATGATGGAGAGTCTCTACTGTAGCAGCTGTCCGATCTGCAAGCGAAAGTATGCCCTGGAAACGGGCAAGCTGCCCGAGGACGATGCCAAGTCGCAGGAGGAAATCGAGACGGTGGATGTGGAGAGCTGCACGGATGATGTGCCCGATTCGGGCTCGGAGCTAACTGGTCCCGGATCGGTGGCTGCGGCCAGCGTCTCGACGATACCCACCAGCATGCACAACAGCAATGCCCAGCCGGGCAAGCTGGATGGCATACTGTATCGCACGGCCTGCGTGATGAACCAGAAGGATGTGCACGGCGACGAGCAGGATGTGAGCACCAATGTGACAACGGCCAGCAGCAGCAGCAGCAGCAGCTGGCCTACGGGTGAACCGCCTCAGGCACATATCAGTGGTGGGTCTCCTTCGAGTTCAAAATTCCCATCCTAGTGGCATGCTAATAATTACTCTGCCTCCCATTACGCCTCTCTTCTTTCAGTGAAAAACGTCAGCGAGCTGTCATCTACCACACATCACTACTACAACGCCGACTCCTGCGGCGTGGGCGTCAGTGACAACAACAGCAGCAGCGGTGGCGCCAGCAACAACAACAAGGAGCTAATGATGGACACAGCCTCGTGCCAGAACGATAGCGATGAGGATGTGATTGTGGATGATGATGACAATAACACCAGCAGCATGAAGATGACGAACAAAATAAATTACAACAAAATGCAGCAGCAGCAGCAGCAACAGCAGCAGCGACGGCAGGAAGAGCAGAATGTGGGCAGCAGCAGGTGAGTGTTAATCGATTTTTATCGATCATTTTCGATTACAAGTTTTTTCTTAATTCCTGCAGATCTTTGGAGAACATCTCACCCATCGAAGAGCGTCCCCGTTCCGAGCCGCAGGTGAGCAGCACCGATCCCGGACCCATGGACATCTCCCACAACAACAACAACAACAGCAACAACAACAACAACAATACACCAACATCGAAATATGTGGAGAGCATGGAGAACAGCCTGTCGCAGCTATCATCGATGGGAGTGCCGGGATTAACGCAATTGGACTCAAAGGTGGGAATTAGTTCGGATTTAAAACCGGACGATGAAAACAAATGTTTCATTTGTAAGGTAATTTCTCAGTTTGCTTCAGTTTCACTTTTTAGTCCCAGTGTCCAGCACGAACTAGTATCTACTCTATATCCTTTATCCCCATCCTTTGTTTGCCTTTAACTATCTTTCTACAAACTCCACCACTTACCCTGACGTTGATGCACATTCCGCATGCCATAGCCAGCGACTATTTCTATATCTTCCACCTCTTTTCGTCTCTTTTCTCTCTCAAGACAGGCATAAAGGATCTCAATACGGATGCGTTCCTGCGCGGTCGTAACTTTTATTTTCATCAAAGCTGTGCCAATGTCATGAGCAGCTATCGCCTGAACAAGGAGCTGCTCAATCAGGCCCAGAACCAACAGCAGCAGCAGCAACAGCAACAGCAACAACAGAGGACTGCAGCTGGCTCTGGACCGGGGGGCGAGGCAGCAGCAACGCCCCGAAGTTTGTCGCCAGCCCAGTCGCCGCAGCAGAGTGTGGGCCAGGCCATGGAGTAGAGGTGTCAAAGGTTGATAATTGCAATCAAAGCGTGAATTTATTAAAATTAATTAATAAAATATATGTATTGTGCGAGTATTTGTGGTAGCTAATGGAGCAAATTGGTATGCAAATTGGTGTTTAATTGGGCATATCCCCAACCCTTCCTCACCCCCACCAACACCTCCTGTGTTCGGTTTTGCTCCCTTTTGACGTGTACATTTAATTTTGTTTTTCGTTTTGAAATGGAATTTCTAGTGCAATTTATGTGTTGCCTTTTCAAACTGTCTTATATATGTATGTACCACCCTTACCATATAATATATCCGATCCGTGTATATGTAATATGTATTCGTAATTTCCCCGAACGTGCTATAATTGTTAAATATTTGATTGATCGGAAGAAACAAAAACAAAAAACAAAAAAATACATACGAGAAATGATAAATAGTTTCAACAGTAAGCAAATAATTAGTTGTAAATTCTTAAGCCCATAAATTATTTATGACAAAAATCAAATAAATACATGAAAATATTAACAGTAATCCCGCGCTTTGAGTGTAATCAAATAATGGGGTAAATTGTGGGGTAAGTATGGGAGTTTTTGCTAAGCGTTTCGAGTTAAAAGAACTAAATAATGCAGCAAAATTTGCGAATTTCTTTAAAATTAAAAGTAATATAAAGTAAGAATCCAAAAATAAAATCCACATCCCTTGCAATTTCCAACTGTTTCTAATCGTTATTTTATATTTTTTAAATTTTTAATTGACTTTTATTTTTTATTTTATTTTTTTAAATTATTTTTAATTTTTGAAATTTGTTTTCTTTTTATTTTTTAACTCTTTGTCTTTGCTAGTTGGTTCTACTAATATTTCAATATTCGTAATATTCTAGTCGTTATATTATATTAATTCTTTTTTTGTTTATTTTAAATAAATATATTTTTAATTATTTTTTTGTTTTATTATAACTCATTGTCTTTGGTTATACTAATATTTAAACCGATTCTTCAGTTGTATTTTAACAAAGCAACTATCCAGCATCGCTGACAAAAGCTTTTGTTTGTAATTTGCAGCTAAATATAATAAAAAGCTGCCTTCCAGTTGCTTGCGCGCTCCAATCAATTGAGCAGTGGAAAAGTTTTATGCTGATTACAAATTCTGCCGGCACAAGGCAATAACAACTACAAGTAGACGCACACATACGCGTATGTACTTGTATATGTATGAATGGATCATATTCCCCAAGTATCAGATGATAATTTGTGTACAATATACAAAGAGAATGTAAGAAAGATAGAGCCAGCCAGGCAAACGTCAAATCTCAGAGAGAGAGGGAAGCAAAGTGTGAGTGTTATTTCCAGATAGCGCGATCTTTGCAGGGGGTACGAAACGCTCTCCCACTTTGGACTCTCCCGAAGCGCAGTATAAAAAGCTCCCGCCAATAGCCAGCACAGTTTCAGTAAGCATTTCGCGAGTGGAAGTACCAGACTCCTCCCTTCACGCTTCCGATCGATTTGTGCCATCAAAATGTTCTCCAAGCTTTCCACACGCGGCATTGCCAGCCGCCTGAGCTGCCTGGCCCAGAAGACGGCACCCAAGGAGGCCACCGGGTCATCCACTGGCTACCTCTCTGAGGCAGTCTATGCCCGTGAGCAGAAATACGGCGCCCACAATTACCATCCACTGCCAGTGGCCCTGACCAAGGGCGAGGGCGTCTACGTGTGGGATGTAGAGGGTAAACGCTACTTTGATTATCTGAGCGCCTATTCCGCAGTCAACCAGGGACACTGCCATCCAAAAATTGTCAAGGCACTCACAGAACAGGCCTCCAAACTGGCTCTGACCTCCAGGTAAGGGTATCATTGAGTTGAAACTCAACTTTAGACAAGAAATAATATCAAAACAGAAAAAAGAGTCGTGCCCCCTAACGCTCGGAAAGCTTATCTATCGGTTCCATGAAGCTTTGTCAGCTTTAGATATAATATAAATTAAGCAAGTTCACGAGAGCAAGCAGTGAGAGTGACCTTGGTCCAATTTCTATGACAGACAATATGTTTCTCCAAGCACAAGTGTTGAGGCGCTCATTCTAATTGTTTATTAGCATTCCAAGGGTTTTGTAGCACTTTTAATTGAGCCACAGATAAGTCGATTGGTCATTTCCATGTGTTTCTAAGCAAACTTCTGCCTTAATTATGGGATTTTAATATATACAAATATTAGATTTAAATTTCATCATTCTACTGCAGAGAGTAGACAATCAAACAGCGATTATAATGATAAGTATCGATCTGTAAAGCCGAACACCTCTCCACAGATTTCGACTGAAATTGTACTCAAAAATACCCTTTCTTTCTTGTTAATGCTTGAGTTTTTATGTATCTGGTTAATACTTGAGTGTTTTATGTGTCTAGCTGAGATTAGATTTGCTGCACTCATTTCGTAAACTCATTTCGGAATTATGAACAGTTTTAATGGCTGAAAAATCTCTCAGTTGGTAACCATTTTTCCCATCTGATGATTGAGGGCCATCATTAGTTTGTGTTTACTTCCTAAACTGCTAGTTTAATAACAGTTTAATGACTGATAACCCCCCATGGTGTAGGCTCAAATCTAATCAGTTTGAAATGCACAAATAAATTCACACTCCACTCAGTATTTGGATGGGACATTTGTCAGAATTAAAATTGACTGAATTGTTCTATTGCACTCGAGTTCCTAACTGATTTGACTTGGACAACTCGGACAGCTCTTGCCGGTTTTAGTTGGTTTCACATTGGGTTGCCAGGGGCAGATTGTTAGGTTGTTGGGTTGCTGGGTTGAGAGTGAGGCCATAAAGTCGCGAACAAAAACACTGATAAGACGAAGGCTGAGCATGACTTGTTTTGGCTTACAATTTGTTGTTTTGCGATTGCTAAATTTGGAACAGAAAATGGATTGATAAGGTTCGGATGTGCGATCGGCTGAGTATAGGAAATATTTTTGGAAGGAAAGAAATGCGCACACACCCAGCTATCAACATTCATTCCAAAATTACATATTTTACGTATAAAATAAATTTATTTCATATTTAAATGGAATATATATTAATACTTATTTTCAATTTATTTCCTTGAATTTTAAAGTGTTTTAAATTTAAATTTGAAATGGCGCACTCTAAAAAAACGCTTTAACAGATTTTGGTTTAAATCATTTCCATGTAATTTCACCCTTTAACCAAATATTTCATTAAAATATAATCTGTATATATTGTTCTCTCACAGAGCCTTCTATTCGGATGTCCTGGGAGAATACGAGGAATTTGTGACCAAGTTTTTTGGCTACGACAAAGTCCTGCCCATGAACACCGGAGTGGAGGGCGGTGAGACGGCCTGCAAGTTGGCCCGCAAATGGGGCTACGAGCAAAAGAAGATACCCAAGAACCAGGCCAAGATCATCTTTGCCAGGAACAACTTCTGGGGCCGCACCCTGTCGGCGGTGTCCGCCTCAAATGATCCCAGCAGCTACGAGGGATTCGGCCCCTTCATGCCGGGCTTCGAGCTGATCGACTATGACAATACCACAGCCCTCGAGGAGTCCCTCAAGGATCCGAATGTGTGCGCCTTCATGGTGGAACCCATCCAGGGTGAGGCTGGTGTGGTGGTGCCCAGCGACGGATACCTGAAGAAGGTCCGTGAGCTGTGCAGCAAGTACAATGTCCTCTGGATCGCGGATGAGGTGCAAACGGGTTTGGCCCGCACCGGACGCATGCTGGCAGTGAACTACGAGGATGTGCAGCCAGATATTCTCATTCTGGGCAAGGCACTGTCTGGTGGCATGTACCCCGTGTCCGCGGTGCTCTGCAACGACCAGGTGATGCTCTGCATTAAGCCCGGCGAGCATGGCTCCACCTACGGTGGCAATCCCCTTGGCTGTCGTGTGGCCATGGCCGCCCTGGAGGTGCTGCAGGAGGAGAAGTTGGCCGAGAATGCCTACAAAATGGGCGAACTACTGCGCAACGAGCTGGGACAGCTGCCCAAGGATGTGGTCTCTGTGGTCCGTGGCAAGGGACTCCTCAATGCCATTGTCATCAATCAGAGTGAGTATTTTCCCGACTATTGATCTTTCGCTTCTGCTAATCTGTGGGTGTTTTTTCTACACAGAATACGATGCCTGGAACGTGTGCCTGAAGCTGAAGGAAAACGGCCTGCTGGCCAAGCCCACGCATGGCGATATCATTCGCTTCGCTCCACCACTGGTCATCAATGAGGCACAGATGCTCGAGAGCATTGACATCATCAAGAAGACCATTCTCTCCATGTAGATACGAATGGTAAAGGATCGCTTAGATCGCATAGTTTTTAGCTAGTTTTTGTTAAGGTTTTTCATGTCAAGTCTGAATTAAAATACAATCTTTTATAGCCATTACGGATGCTTCTTTTCACTTCCTTCCATCTCCGACTTGGCACACAAAATCCGCTTATAAATGTCAAATGTGATCTAAACCATTTCAATTTGCCCAACTGTCTGATGTCTGAAGCCCGAGGGCGTAGAAAAGTCAACTTCAAATTCCGCACACCCCAATCTCACACCTGTCAAGGATGTCACAGTTACCCCATCCATTACGTTATCCTGCTGCAGGCTTCCTACTTGGCCATGTTTACCTAGTAGCTGTCGCATCTGTTTTTGGCTTCTCACTTGGCATATTGATTTTAAAGATTTAAATCAGCTCAGAGGCCAGGAATACGGCCAACAGAATGGAGTACCAACAACAGGTGTCAGCCATGAGCAAACGATGGCTATAAGTAGGCCACAAACAACCCCCCTCAGAGCATTGAAATGGCCAAAGGAAACAACAATTCGATTTTTATTTGATTTTTATTTTGATTTTAATTCGTGTGAAATTTGTAGCACACCAATTGGAAAGCAATTGAAGGAAAAGCAGTAGCAAGGGCAGCAAAAGAAGGCAAAGCAGTAGAAGGCAAAGCAGTAGAAAGCAAAGCAGTAGAAGCCACAGCTGGAGAAGTCAAAGCAGTAGAAAACAAAGCAGTAACTGGCAAAAATCTACACCAGCAGCACCTCTCCTCGTCCTCCTTCTCTCCTCTGCCAGCTAATTAAAAGTTTTTGCATTACGCTTAAAAGCGAATGGGAAATATCTTATCTTTAAGCACATAAAAAAGGGACATAAGAAACTCACACAGCAAGGGGTCGCAGGTCAAGTGTTTGCAGCTAAAAAACTAAATCTCCAACGTCTGCCCTTTTGTCCATTTTCCACTTCGGATTCTCAATCTGAATCTGAATGGAACTGAAACTGTTGCCTGTTTTTTCTTTCCTTTTCTTGTTGCTGTTTTTTCTTCCTTTTTTGGGGGGGTGTGAAAAGCCAAAAGCCACACGACACTTGGCCCAGCACCCAGACCGAGGCCAGGCTCATTCTCCTTTGTAGTTCGTACTCTGGCCCTGTCCCCCTTTTGTCCAGCCCATAATCTTTGGCTTTTTATCGGCGTCCATCTGTTGATGTCTTTATTAAAAAAAGAAGCACACACCGACCGGGAGCGAGAGAGCGAAAGTATTTGGGGAAAAAATGCAATTTTTAGCCCATTTTTTGTTGGTCTTTATGGCACTGAGTCGCAGACCGTGGAGCAGGGGGTGCGGGCGGTTAAAGGACACGGCACTCCTTAAGCATTTTATTAGCAAAACTTGAAGATGTCTCGTCTGCACATAATTAAATAAAGCGTTAAAATTAAAAAATCAAGAGATTTTTTCCCCCACATTTTGCTTCAATGGAGAAAGGATATGCCCAGGAGGGGCTCCATCAGAAACCAGAACAGGAGCTGAGGACCTTCCTCTCAGATAAGCATTACAATGTCGTTAATTCGTTTGCCTTTATGTCGAGGCCGCCGGAATTCTTGTGCTTTAAGCACCCAGAACTCGAGCGATAAGGATGGAAAATGTTGCGACATTTTCCGCCTTGTAATTGTCCTCGGCAGGATGCGCGGTGTCCAAGTTTATTGCCTAACGACCGCGGCACGTTCTCTTCGCCGTTTTTATATTTTAATTAAAAAAGAGCCGCAAAAAGGGGCTACATTTCTGGGTGGAGTTTCCCTGCTGAAAGGAAGGTCACTGCAAGGAAAGTAGTTCACTGATTAGAGGCATTGACACATTTCCGAGTAAAACTTGGACAGGCATCCATTGGCAGAGGACACAAAGATCACTTTAAATTTGCCATTCAAGGGAACAGCCAACACAGGGGCAGTTTTTTCCCGATATATGCTTATCTAAAAATCAACATTTTAATAGGAAAATCGTGCTAAATTTGTATCGTAAATTTATTAGAGCTTTAGGCGCGATAAACTCTCTCACTCCAGGCTGACATGTGTGAACAGACAATTTTCGTTGATTAAGGGGATTTACCGAGGCGCAGCAGCAGCAAAAAAAGAAGCGATAATAAAATGTACAGGAAAGGGCAGGGGCAAAGGACAGGAGGACAAGCCTCACCAAATGATAAAATAAAGAGCAATACGAGTAGAAAAGATGCAAAAGTAGCTTATTACAAAGAGGGTGCAAAGGAAAATTCTATCCTTATTTTTGTTCGGCCTTTTTTGGGGTAAAAAGAAAAAACAGAGAGCCACAGAGAGAGGGTGGGAAGGATTGGGCAATATTTTTATGCTTATGACGACCATTGCCATTGCCAGCCCTCTTTTGTGTTAATAATCTTGAGGCGTCTACCGCCATAAACGCTTATATTTTCTGGCTTGATAATTACATTAAGATTTGAGGTTTTTCCTTTTCGTTTTTTTTTATGGGTTTCTCTTTGTGGCCACAAAGCAATGAAGAGCCATGGAGCGCCATGAAGAGGCCATCAGAGCACTTTTCTTCTGCCTCTGATGTCCCGCTTGATGGTTTGCTGCGAATAAAAATTCAATTGTGCCACTCATAGAACAATTACAAAACAACAAGTGCTGAAACGAGCACAGAAATAAAGGGTTTGAGTGCTCGAGAGTTGAAGGAGTTGTCATGCATACTAAATAGTGTGATTCCTATACCCAGTACATACAGTTTGTGGATTCCAAAGGGTAGATTGTACGCGTGTCAAGGACAGGCAGTCCTCTGGCTGGGGGAATGGACTATCATGAACTAATCATTCGCAAGTTCGGATTTTCAATGGTATAGGGACTTGTTTTAGTTCTAAATAGTATCAATCCAATATTATCTATCACTCTATCTACCCTGCTTTAGGTCGAAATATTATCTAAAAATCTATGTAACGTCATGCCTACTGGCTCTAACCTGAGAATCCTTTGAATTTAACTTTTAAGCCTTGGATTTTGTCTTTCTATTGGGTATCCTTTAGTCGGTAATAGACACTTAATACTATTTGTTTTTTGCATTTTAAAACATACATGCGAGTGCGAGCACGACTACCACTAAGAGTGCGAGTTCGAGTGGTATTCCCAAAAGCAAATCACGTCGAAGCGGGCCAAAGCAGGGGAGTGGATCTCCCCGGGCAGGCAACACATTTTTAAAACGCCCCAACGCGCTGTGAGGGACACGTGCATTAAACAGCCCGAAAGGACATCAGAACGACAGTAATTTACAAAACTCGTCGGCAGTTGACTTCACAACGCGTTTGTCTGTCGCGCAATTAGGCAATTGCCCCCGTAGAGTCCTCCTGAGTTCTACTCTCTGAATGTCTGTCTGCTGCCTGTGTGTGTGTGTAATTGACAAAAAATGACATGCACAGCGAAAAGAAAAATAAACCAAAAATTGATTTTTATGTAATGAGTCCCTCGGACTGCATCTGACTGTTGTTGTGTTTCACTTTTTTTGGTGACTTTCGTGGCATGCTGGCTGCATATTAAAAAGTGCGTGATGCTCCTCTGGGCAAGGGCTGTCAATTTTTATGAAGTTAAATGCCCCATCGACAGGTGGGAGTTGGGTGGATGTGGCAGAGAGATGCCACAGCACACACAGTGGAAAAAGGTGTTGCATGCAATCATGCACATAATTTTAATTGGTTTTTTTCGTTGAGTTTAATAAAGCATTATTAATGTGGGAGACACAAGGGCAATGCAACCCAATGGCGTAAGTAAAGCCTAATTAAATCGAGCGTATTTTAAAATGTTTTTATTCGTTTAAATTTAAATTAAAATTTAAACATTGCCGCAAACAGAGACTTTTACAGCACTGCAACTACTTTAATCGATAGACGACAGAGCTGCCACCTAGTTATTTGTTTCTATCGATACGTTTTATGCTTCTGCCAGCAAACAATTTGTGCCTGCACTCAAAATCTACTTTTTTCTTTTTAATCCAGAACAACAATAAATAACAATCAAACTCCGCTTTGATAGGAATTTTAAAAATTAAGCACACAATTAAAATAAATAGCATTCGTCTGAGAAAATGTTCCCTGAAGGGACTTGAATAAAAATCAACTTAAGAAATAGATTTACGACTAATAATGTATCTAATCCATTATATACATACATATAAGACAGAAAAATGGTTGGAAAAATTTCCTCAACCCGAGGGAAATTGAAGTGATGACGAGAGTGAATAGGGTGAATATAAAGGAAATAATGATGTGTCTTGATGAAATGATCTCCAATAAACAAATAATATGGTTTTTATACGTTTTAATTGAAATAAATATATTTGATTTCCTCGGTATATTTTGAAAATGAAAACATTATTTCGGTATATTTTCGAAGCCCTGATGGTATATTTTATCGATAATTCCGCGGTCACACTGGCTACCAGCAACAATTTTTTGTTTCACCTTTTTTTGTTGTTGTGGAAAAAAAAAACGAAAACTGACGTCCGAGGCGTCCAATTCGTTCTGTTGTATTGTTAAGTAAATTTTAATTGGAAGCGAAATGTCGAATCAGAAGGCGGACAAAAGTAACGCCATCGTAATCGTTGAGGACGATGACGAGGATATTGAATACATGGGAACCACAACCACTATGCAGCCCATAGTCACCATTGATCTCAGCGGCGACATGCCGTCCACCTCGGCTGCTGCAGCAGCCCGTGACGCCAATGGCATTGTTGGCGCTGCTCCTCTGACAGGAGCCTCTCCCAAGGCCACCACCAACGGGGAGACAGGTGAGTCCCAGGCCACCATCAATCGCGGTGTCGTCTTCATCCACTGTATGTCTTTTTTTGTTTGCTGTTTCTGTAGGTCCATCTGCATTGGATGGTGCATCCAGCACAGGGGCCGCGGCATTGGAGTGCGCCATCTGCCTTCAGACTTGCATCCATCCAGCCCGTCTACCTTGCGGCCACATCTTCTGCTTCTTGTGCATTAAGGTGCGTAGTCCCCACACCCCTCGCGAAATGCGGAAGCCACTTCACCGCCACTTGCCTATGCGCAGCGCATCGCCAAATTGAGTTTTAAATATTCGCTTTTGACTGCGAGCATTGTGGAGCACGTAGGCAGGCAGGTTGAAGGCTGTTCTGAACCCTTTGGTGCCTGCTGCTGGCCGTCCGATTGCTTAGAATTCATTTACAATCTTGCACAGATACACACACACACAATATGTACATGTGTCGATTGGATTGGCTTCCGGCTGAAAACTTGTCCAATTTGAAATTTTGATTATTTGTCAGTACAACCAGTTTGGGCCTTGGACAAGTATTTCAATGAGCACTTGAATGCATTTTCCAGTTCACATGCTAGGAAGGCAGTGGCTTTAGGTGGAGTGGCACGTTCAGCATTTATCTAATTTCTTGTGTTGTTTTTGCAGGGCGTTGCCTATAAGAATCGTCGTTGCGCCATGTGCCGACGCGAGATTCCCTCGGAGTTTCTGGATCATCCCACGCTTGTGAATGGAATCGAGGATATTTGCGTCACCCGCGCCACCGAGGATGGCTATCAATGGTACTACGAGGGACGCAACGGTGAGTTGTCATTTCATAACCCAAACTAAATAACCCTCACCAATACCCTGCACCAATTTAGAGGGTTGGTGGGCCTACGATGCGCGAACCAACGAAGAGATCGAAGACGGATTTCAGATACTCGAGGCCTACAAGAAGGATAGTCCTGATGAGAACATACATGAGTTAGACCATGCGCACCATCTATCAGTCAATCTGCATCCTAGCCAGATGGTTCAAATGATTTGCGGGATCAACTTTCTCATCGACTTTAATCACATGCGTCAGTATAGTTTTAAAGACGACAAGTATAGAGCCATTCAGAGACGCAAATCGGAAGAGCCACCACCGGCTAAGTTTAAAGGCGTGGCCGGGCTTTTCTTGCCCGCTGGGACCGCTGCCAACTAACCCACTAGAAATTGTATCCCATATGCAATCCCCTCATCCCTTCACCCACATCCAACATCCACCCACATCGAAACCAAACTGTGATTTAAAGACCCAACAAGGTCCAACTCCAAAAAGTATTCTTGTCAATAATGTAACTTCAGGTTGGTGGCAATACGATGACCGCACCAGCCAGGACATTGAAGAAGCCTTCAAAAAGGGCGAAAAATCCTGCTCCATACTCGTAGCTGGCTATGTCTACGTGGTCGATCTGGAGCAGCTTGTGCAGCAGCGTCAGAATGAGCCAACCCGTTGTCGTCGCGTCAAAAGGGATCTGGCCAACATACCCAAGAAGGGAGTGGCTGGTCTCCGCATAGAGGGCAATCAGGTGACCAGCGATACTGTGTTCAGCCGACCCGCACCAAACCCACCGACGTCGAACACCACAGCTGCGGCAGCTGCCTCCACTTTTATTTCCACCATTGCCGCCACAGACGCTGCCATTCGGATTGCCAGCGATATCATTGGCTCCACGCTGGCCCATGCAGATGAGCTGACTCGGGGACTGACGGCAAGCAACATCTGCGAGGATCCCAGCAGCAGCAGCAGCGGTGAGCAAACAATGTCAAACAATCCACAGGACTCAAACACAACTGCAGCACCAGGAGCAGGTGCAGCTGCCGGTACAACGCGCTCGCTTGCCTCCTCGCCCTCCAGCTCCATTCAAGATCTCCTGTTCAGCGCCACCGAGGACCTGTTGAACACCCAGCAGGTCATAGCCAACAACCAACACACCATTGATCTCTTCGAGCAGGCCTTGAACGACTTCCAGGCCCTCACCATGCACACCTTTGTGGACTCCAGTGATGACGATGAAGACGAGAACGAGGAGGAACTCAATGAAGCTCTAGTGGAGTTGGAACCGAGGGATGTGGAGGCGAGCGAGACGCAGCCAAACAGCAAACTCGAGGGTCTCTAGGCATTCACACACAAGAGTACACATTATATCCCCATTTCCCCCACGCACACTTAAAGAAAAGCAATGTTCCTTGTAGCAGATTTCACTAAACACTGAAAGGAATGTTAACTAGAGAAATGCAGCGCGTACCTGAGTATATATTAACATATATATATATGTATATATCCGAGAGCAGAACAGATCAGAATATGTCTACAGGGTAAACTACACACAACACACAAAACAAATACATATTTATGTATATTCCTTTCAATCAAATGTTACATAAAAATATGAATGGATTGATGCGTGGATTGGGAAGTATCTGATACGAAAATTCCGAACTTCTGTATGCCAAACAAAACTCATTTACACGCAACTTAAACAACATTTAATGCCAAACACAAACAAACATAGACAGACACACAGTATGAACTTCCCAAACACGCATAATCCCATATAGAAAAACCATAGCATTCCGCTGTAAATAAAACTAAATATTATACCCTAAAGGGTTCAATATAAATTACTCTTCCTTTGTCGAGCGGAAAGAATGAAATAACCACCAAGAATTAATAGTAGTGAGAAAGACAATATAGACCTGAGAGTATCGATTTGGGAGCGATGTGTGAGTGATTCATGGAAAGAGTGTCCCAAATTATAATAAGTCGACTTTAAGTGCGTTAAACAAACAACATTTCTGTGAGACTTAATTCTAATAATTATGCATTAAGTTATCATTAAAACAATGATATTAAATCTGACAAGAGGTTCAGCAGTAGGCCTGAACCAAGCACCTACATAGTATAGAAATGTAATGGCAATTATTTTTCCCCCGGTATTAATAATCTCAATTTTGTGACTACTATTTTATAGGTTCGTTTAGGATTTGTACCCCGCTATTACTTCTAACAGCGAAATGTGTGTTCGTTGCTTCCCTAATATCTACGATATACCTAAAGCTCTACTGAAATCGTATTCCGATCCCGAGCCCTCGAACCAGTAATATCAGTAATCAGTAATCCCGGTAATATCAAGAAAACAATTATTATTATTATCTCTAAATGTTCATCCACGGAATGGGAAAACACCATCGTTTCGAATGCTATTTCATTACCAAACAGAAAATCTCCTACTTTCGCTTTCTCATATAAGAATAACCCTGATAACGCTTTAGCCACCACCAATCCACACTTTCAACTGATTTCATTTGCATGACATTTCTAGGATCTAGTCTCTAAATGATATTAATTCCCTATCAACTGGTGGCAGTTCTAAAAGATAAACAAAAATAAAACAATACGTACTTAATAAACAATTAGCATTTCAACAATAACAAAATGGTATATCAAGAAGAAACAACAAACACACTAAGATGCCTGGCAGACAGAGGCAGAGGCATGCTGAGTAGCACGTAGCATTTTGTTCCCATCATATTTTCAATTAAAATATTGTATAACTAATGCATTCAGTATTCAAAAGATTGTGACCCCTCACAGCGAGGGACGTTGAAGAGAAAGAAATGGCTTAATGAAAGATAAATCCTGTGAAACAGATACATTTACATCAAATATAAACGTAAACGATGATACTGTTTAGATCCTAAGAAATTTTGAATGTGGTTTGTTTGAAACGAGAGAAATTAATAAAGAGAGTTGGATCTACATGTAGTATTCAGTCAAGTGTACTTACCTAACATATACGAGTATGGTTTATTTATTATAACCGGCGAATATGAACCTGTAAGTATAAAAAGCGATAGAACGATCAGATAAAATACATAGAAAAACAAAGGAAATATCATATCCCTATCCAATTAATTTGAAAAGAACGATCGCTTTTAGATACCATATTTTTATCATGATCCTCTCACTCCAACCGCCACTCGATAAAGGCAACGAAATTCTATCCCCTTTCCCGTTTGTGGCACTGATTGACGGGAATGGGACCTGGAACCATGGTACCCTGAAACCCTGGACCCTGTCCGTCTACAAATACCTTAACCGAATGACTCATGCGCATTGGACCAGGCGGCATAACAAATTTCTGGACCTGTTGTTTGTGGTGCTCTTTTTTAAACCAACAAGATGGTTTTATACATACCTCCATAGAGAGAGGAATAGAGCGGGGGTGCAGGCGTTGTTGCACTAACAAGGGAACGGTGTGGGGGGGGCACGCAATGGGATCGTTTCTGTCCCATAAATATGGTCTGCAGTGTAGACAGACTCTTCGCTTGGCTACATGAGTCATCTTTGTTTACATAGAAATTATGCTACCTGCTGCATACGCTCTTGCGTATGTTCTTTCTACCTGTTGTGCAGTGTGAGGGGATCGTTTACGATCGACGACAGAATGACTCGTATCAGCATAGAGGCATCATTATGAAATAATATAAGATGATATTCCTATAATCTTGTAAGTGAAACTGTCGCGGGGACCATTTCATGTGTATACTGAATGAATTTTATTTATTTATTCTGACTACTATTGTGTAAAGTTTCCAGTCAATCCTGCTGCATTTTTGTTGATAAGTAGACAATAGGATGTTAATTCTAGATCCCAAATTGTATGTTTGCAGTTCTTACAGTCCCTGAGATTGATGGTTAAAATATATTGCAACACGAGATAGGATCGTCAAGAGTTATTTTCATACAAACATACAACATTCACAGATACCCTGGAAAATCATGCATTAAACTTTAAGGCTTAAATGTAACGCATTTTTACTTTTGGCGATGCCACTCTATGGCGTTTTACTTCTTACATGTGAGTGCTATCTCGAATTCAAATCACTATCATCGGTCTCTGTCGCGTTTTGTTTATCATTTCGCGTATTGACGCAAAAAGCTTTGGCGCAGCTGCATAAGCTTTTAGGCCTGTGAACATGATCGGACATGTTTGGACCTGGAGCTTTTTGGAGCAAGCTAGCTCCAGTTACCCAATACCAACAACAGACAGCCGGAGTGGAGTACCTTGCAAGCGCTTCGGTGGTTGGCCATGGCTCTCTCTCTCTCTCGCTCACTGTCGCTGGCTCTCTGGGCACACACATGCGCAGTGCAACCTGCGCTCCAAACTGGTTTCGAGGGAGGAAATCGGCTTAGCTCACGGCGGTACATACCAATTTTGTGGTGCTGTGCGCTGTGCTCTCTCCGTGGCGGTCTCGGTTTCGGCCTAAAGCCAGCTTCAGCCAGTTTTTTTTAGTCGATTTGTATCTACCTTTGGTGCGGACGGTTGGCTCGGAATAACGCGTTCTCCGTTTCGTTATCTAAAGCGCAACTGGGGAGACCAGAAACCAGTCTTTAATTGTTTTATTTCAAGCTAAAATCAATTAATATTATCCACAATTACCCAATAAATGTAAGCAAATGCATAAAGAATACAATTTCCATGGGGAAAATGTCTTGAAAGCTTGTGCAAAACTGTGAAAATGTGCAAATACAAAAAATTGTATATTGATTTTCTCTGAAAGAGGGAACGAAACGAAGAAGAGGAAGCAGCAACAGCACAAAGCTGCGCTGTAAGGTTTCCAACGTGTGTCCGTGTGTGGGTGTGCACCGTCAGTGTGTGTGCGAGAGAGTCGGAGAAGAGTACAGAAATAGAGAAAAAATCGTATTGGTGTGTGTGGCAAAATGTATTTTTTGTTGTTGTGTTCTAGCTTTAGCCAAGTTAAAAAAAAAAACAACCAAGAACCAGCAGCACCAAAGCACGGCAAAGGCAAAAAGCAGAAGAAGTGGATTTACTCATGTACATACACAGGCATGCAAAAATAGTTGATGGTGTATGTGCAAGTGTGTTCTTTTGTGCAATTTGCCTTTTAAAGACATCATAAAAATAGCTTAGACTGCACTTTGAAAGTGAAAGAAACACTCGTATGTACATATACATATGAATGTATGTTTTTATGTAAATATGTACAAATGGTCGTTATGTGAAATGTGAAGTGTACAATTGACAAATGTAATTATTGAACTGAAAGGTGGCCGACTCTTTCTTCTTCATCGCACAAAATCTCACACTTTCTTTGGTGCTTTGACTTCATGGCTTGCACGGTACTCGAAGGGTGCGAAGGACGTATGTCATTTATGAAACGGATGTAACACACCAAAGGAATTCTTGTTCGTATGAATACTAATACAAATGCAAACGGAATTATCTTTGGGAAACCCTCTCATTACCAAATAATTTTCAGTCAATCCAAGTAGAGGGTATCTTTTAGTAGACTACACCTCGCTTCATTGAACTTGTGTTGGCTCCCCGTGACGACAGAGAACGAACGACTTTGACCGCACACTTCTCTGTCGCTCTCGTACGCACACACATCCTGCGCATTTTGCCGTTTGACGTCGTTTTTTTATTGATTTTGTGTGCTTTGGCGTTCATTGATAAAAGATTACAGGTTAATGCGCCAGCGCATGAATGCGTGTGGAGTTCACTGAGGTTCCGAAACTCTTGATACCAAATCGCTTGACCTTCCGCAGATACAGCCCCCACCCACCAATCACCCCAGCATGTCGTAAGGAGTCCGTAGACACTCTCAAACTCTCTCTCACGGACAATGCAACCATTTAGCGACAGTCTAAGCAAGAGTCGCGATGATTTGGTCAGTGTCGCCGCAGCTACCGCCTCCCGGCAGCAATTGTACGGCCAGAGGCGACACCACGGCAGCAGTCCCAACCTGTCGCTGGATCAGACGGATAACCTGCGGAGAAGGTAAGTTTCGCACGATTTACAAAATAAAAAATTAAAAAATGCTGAAAATATGTATATTTTGATTCATTTTATAAGAAAATTCCGTCAGATCGTGCTCAAGTTCGAGGTAATCGACCTTCAGCGTACACTGGGAAAAAAACCCATAGAGAGCTTTGGGTAGTTTCTTACCGCCCGCTCGAAAATACTCCAACTGGTTGATCGATCAGCGGCACATACACATTTTAATTAATATAATTCATAATCAAATTAGAAATGAAGTACTGGGTTGGAGGCCCTTCTATTTTATATAGAAATGTGCAAGATTGCCTGATTTTTGCTTGTTTTAGATCGTTGACTAGTTTTCCATAAACAGAAAACCAAACACTTAATTATTGAACCGAAGAATCTAGATACCAACCTGTAAGGTTATACCAAACGCAATTTTATCTAGACACCAAATTTAGGGGAAAACTTCCTTATTTTTTCGTAGAATCTGCAGGGTTCAATGATTTTAGATATAAATCTATGCATACAAAAATAACTACCAATTAAAGGTATAGTAATAGCTTTCAACAAACACGTGCTCATAATAAATTGTGGTGAAATGATGAAAAGCAAACGAACTCGAAGAGAGAAAACCGATCTTTGCAAGGGGGCCGACGTGCGACCCAAACTTCCTTGTCACACAAAGCCCCACATAGATACAAATGGGTGTATGGTTGTATGTGCATACATGGAAACACCTGTCGGTGTGGATCATGTGGCCCCGCTGCAAAAACTGGTTTCGAGTGTGCCCAGAGAGCACAGCGGCATAGAAAGGGGCCAGGCGGACTGCAGTCAACTGCAGGCATTAGCGAATTTGGTCACTTTGACAACATTAAATGCCCGTGATAACAAAAGATGAGAGACGGAACGACAGAGAGGGAGAAAGAGAGCGCTTGGAGAAGAGAGCACAACATCCGAAAGCTACGCTGATAATGGGAAGCTTTGGGGCCATGCTCCAACGCTACCGCTCACCATTTAGTTAGCAAAAATCAATCGTTTCTGACGGTTCGGTCGCAAAAATCGTGAGCCTGCCTTAATGTGTTCTCATGTGTATGCGTGTGTGTGTGTGCGCTGCTTATCGCCAAATCAGTTTTGTCGTCTCTTCTGCTTTTTTTGTGGTTGTTGTGACGCAGTTTTTGCAACATACACGAAATTATTACAGTTTCCCAAGCAATCCGCATGCATCCCAAACAACAGAGCCAACGAAAGTGTTACGCGCTCTGCTCTTGGTCTTGTAATTAACACAGACGCCCAACAACAAAGTCTTAACAACTTACCTTGACGTCATTTCATTTTTTTGGCGACAAAAAAATAGCAGTAACTCGGCCAGTCTGTTGTGTGTGTGTGTGCGTGTATTCGCGCGGTGGCTGTTTGTGCTTGGCACGAACCGAGTGAACGTTTTTAATCAAAAGTTACTTTAACACCGCTCCGCCCGCTGGCGCTGCTGTGCGTAAACCAAAAACTGTTACCAGAAAAAACCAAGCGTAAATATTTGCATTAATGCAGCGCCGTCGACGTCGTCGCCGTTGTGTATGAATGAATGAAATTCTTATTGCGCGACAACTAATTACAAAAACAAACACAATTGGCCGCGGAAATCCGAATTAAGTGTGGAAGAGAGGGAAAGCGAAAGGAAAGCACATTCACCATGGTCTATTATATATCATTCTTTGGCCACAATGAGCCGCCGGACAAGATTATAAGCAACGAAAAGAGGTAAATCGCATTAAACTGAGTCACACCACGCTGCAACCAGCCGCACCATTTACCGTTATGTGTGTTTTTTGCACTCGCGCTGACCTGTGCAAAAAAAAAACCACGAAACGAATGACGCGAGAAAGAGGAACGCAGCATGCCGCCAAATTTCCGCGTTCTATGAACTACGACGCGTCACAGTCAAAGGTCAAAACGTGCTGGCACCTTATTCACTTTCGAGACT